GCCGCCGCGCTTCCCAAGCGGCGCACTATCCAGTGCGCCACTGGGCCGGCCCTCCACAGATTTTTTTGAAGTACCTGTGTGTAACTGTAACTAAGATTTGAAAAATAAAAAATCATTACATACTGACACCCCATCACATGATCAGCATAAATTATACTTAATCAAGTACAAATATCTGGTGATCACTTTCTGCTTGCATGTTGTCCTTGCTTTGATATTTTCCAGTTTCTCCATGGAGGGTTCAGGAGCAGATGAGATAATCAGAAGATCTGGTGTAGCACTAATAAGCTCAGGTGGGCTTTGAAATAACAGAGCTTAGGTTCGAATCCTGAGCTGTGGGGCCTTATTTTTGTAGGATAAACCCCTACAAACCTGACTTTCCTCATCAAAGGAGGGTACCAATACCGACCTTCCTGGCTGTTTTAGACACTACATTAAATATTTATGCACCTGGCGCAGCCTGACGCACAGAAAGCTCTTCAGAAGAGTAGTTAAAATTTCCAGGATTAACTACAAAAGAAAAGGAAGTGGGGCGGGGCTAGGAAACTAGGGAAAAAGAAAAGGAAATGCAGACTGGTGAGTGTCATCAATCGAATGAAGGACCTCCATGGGTTCCTGCAGGAACGAGCAGACAGAATTGCCTGGTCCCAGTGGCTTGAGGCCTTGGGACCTCAGAGAACTCACCAAAAAGGCTGTGCTTGCATTAGGAGCTCTGTCCTCTCTACCAAACCTCTCTAACTCAGATTCTTGTGGCTGGGAGAATCTGAGCTCACCAACTGTAAGGAGGTCACCATTTCTCTCTGAGAATGAAGTCCGAGGAACATGCCACTCTCATGTTTCTCTAGAACTGGTTTTATAAAATGAAGTTGTTCTCTCGGAGCCCGTGGCGGCTGTGTCTAACATCACAGCTGAAGTGACTGATGAGAGCAGGAGTTGACTTCAGTGAATTTTAGACAGGTTTTTTCTACATTGACTACACTGACACTATGTGACGAGTTAGGAGAAGCAATATAACACAGCCAATGTCCTCAGAAGCTGCTGCAGGCTGAGTTTTTAATTGTGCTGTCATGAGCATCACACTACTTTAAAATTTCAAAGAGGCCAGAGACAGCACCCAGGACATCACCTTCTTCTACTCACCACCCCTGA